TATCAGGGTTGGAAGGGACCGTATCAAAAGCTTTGCTAAAATCAAGGAATAAGAAAGTGCAGGATCAAGTAACTCACAGCAATTTCCTTGCAGGCTTCTGGGAGCTTATCTGGAAGAGTACCAAGGGTGAGTATTCAAAGTTGCTTTGCTGTCAGGCTGTCTCACTTCTTATATTATTGTAGAAACCCTTCTCAAGCCCCAAATATGGGCTCAGTGGTCAGCCGGAAAAGCCCAAACAGATGTGAAAGGATTAAGGCAAAAGACAGAGCAATGGGCTTCTAAATCCCAGAGCGCGGATGTCAGAGTTAATCCAGGTGTTCTTTGCAGTGTCAGTTCTCCCATTATCCCAATAGCTGGTTTGTTGGTTCTCTGTGGGCTCGGTTCTTTACTGCCATGATAAGAACCACTTCTCAGTCAGTCAGACACACTGGCAGCTGTGATTCACTGGGAATCCTCTCATTCTGCACATCTGGAGTGGGGATAATAGCATCACCACAGACAATCATAGACATGGTCTCAACCACACTAGGGGGCAGCTCCCCAGCAGATGTAAATCGGCCTCACGCCACTGAAGTCAATAGAGAAATGCCAGTTTACTCCAGAATAGAATTTAGCCCATTTGAAAAAGGGGTTTCCTCACATAGAAACCAGTGAAGCATATGGGGATCTAGGAAATATTGCAATAGCAGGGAGGGCGGAAATCGACCAGGGAGCCGGGAAATTTCCCATGCCAGCAGTTGCCTGGCTGAGCCACTGCCATGAAAGTAGAGTGATTTCAACAATATCGGGGAAAGAGCAGCACTAAATAACTCCTGCCTTTGCCTGCCTAGCGGTTTGGGAGCTCGTTGAGCCCTGCTCGTAGTGCTCTGCAAAGACAGTTGACTCTGAGAGTCTGAAAAGTGATTCTGGTGCATTTAACAGTGACCGATCAGATTAGCTGAAGGAAGGCAAAGAGAAGAAAGGAAGGCACAGAGAGGGGAAGGAACTCACCTAAAGTCACAGAGAAAGTCAGCAGCAGAGCCCAGAACAGATCCCCGAGCTCTTGTCTCCCAGCCCAGCTCCCTTTTTACCAGACCACACTGGCTCCCATTTCCCAACCAGCAGACGTTTGAGTCCAGTTCCCTTCAGGACATCATTTTCATTTCACTTCTCCCAGAGAAAGAGCAGCAACAAGGAATTAATGTTTTAGTAATAGTTTTTTTCCCTTCTAGTCTGATTTAAGCCATGAAGGTGATTTGTCTATGAGTATTCAGAATTTATTCTCCTTTTGGGACTTTTACATTAGTTTGGGACCTTTCAATCAGATTAAACAGAGGAAGGCCATTGACCTCCAGAGGTGGGCTCAGAAGTTAGGCTAGCTGAGAAAGCCCGGGGAGTCCAAAGACAAGAAGCGCAATCTACGCCAGAGAGCTTACAGCGGCACAGCTGTGCCAAGAAAAATGGTAATAGAGATAGGGCCTTAATCACTGAAAGTCTTTAAATCTAGATGGGATCTGTTCAGAAAAGGTATGCTCTAAATAGAACAGAAGTTATGGGCTAGATGCAGGAATCATTGGGTGAGATTCTGTGCTGTGTGTTAGTCGGTAGGTCAGTCTAGAAAAAAATTCATTGGTAAAAATTTCAACCAGCTCAAATTCTTATCCCGAGCAGTAAGGAAACTGCCAAACTCCGTAGGTTAATCCCAGCACAGGGAAAGAAGGGCAGTGGGAACGTTGCCCATCACAGAGCTGTCTGGAGACATCTCTACACTACAGACTTCTGCTGGCATAGCGGTGTCATTCTGGGGGCTGAAGATATTTGACTTCTGACTGACATGGCTGTGCTGTAAAATGGCCCTAGTGGAGACGCATTCATAGCAGCATAACCGAGCATTTGCCATAGAGATCATTTTGCTCAGAGACAGCTAGAATAAGCTACACCGCCAACACTGCAGTAGTACGCTGGGATCGCCATACTGACACGGCGCTGCTAGTGTAGCCGGGGTGTGGTTGAGCTATGGACAATGGGAGGGAAGTTTGATGCCATTGAAGAAAGAGCAGCAGCAATTAACTCCCAGCAATTTCCTTGCAGGTCTCTGGGAGACTAGCTGGGAGACTAGCTAGAAGCCTTCTTGGGGTGAGTAATCACATTTGCTTTGTTGTCAGGCTGTTTTATATTATCCCAGCACCTCTTAGCAAGCCCAAACCCAAAGGAAGTATCAGTTGGAATAGCCTGAACAGATGTGCAAGGATTGGGACAAAAAACAGAGCAATGGGTTTCTAAATCCCAAAGGGGTTAATCCAGGAGTTAATCCAGAAGTTTTTGGCAGCTTCATTTCCCCTCTAATACTAGTTGCCGGTGTGTTCCATCTCCGTGGGCCTGTTCCTTAGAACCATCTGAAGAATCACTTGCCTCTTTGCAGGAGCATGCACGGGAATTTAAATTTGACCCCTTTTTGGAGGGCACAGAAGCTCACTCTCCTCCCTCTCACACCCGGCCCTGGGAGGATCTCCCTGCTCCCCCTCCCTCCACTTGGCCCCAGCCCCGGTCCCGGCAGGAATTTGATATTCCCTGCCTCCGTGGCATTCGGCTCCACAGAGCCGTGGGATAATAGTATCACCATGGACCATCACAAACAGACTATTAACTATACACTGGAGCAGGTCCCCAGCATGTGGAAGACATCCTCTCTCCACTGATGCCAATAGCGTAGTGGCAGTTTATATCAGAATAGAATTGGGATCATTTGAAAAAGTGTTTCCTAACATGGCAGACAATGAAGCATACGAGTCGGGGCATCTACGAGATATTTCAGTACAGGATGTCAGAGGGGGATATCCCAGAGGGGGGTGTCAGAGTTAATCCAGGTGTTCTTTGCAGGGTCAGTTTTCACATTATCCCAGTAGCGGGTTTGTTGGGCCTCTCTAGGCTCTGTTCTCTACAGCCGTGAGAAGAACCACTTCTCAGCGGAGTCAGACTCACTGGGAGCTGTGATTCACTGGGGACCTTTTATTCTGGAGTGGGGATAATAGCATCACCATGGACAATCCTATGCATGGTCTCAACCACACCAGCGAGCAGCTCCCCAGCAGATGTAAATCGGCCTCGCGCCACTGAAGTCAATAGAGAAATGCCAGTTGACATTAGAATAGAATTCACACCATTTGAAAAAGGGGTTTCCTCACATAGAAACCAGTGAAGCACGTGGGGATGTAGGAAATATTTCAATAGAAGGGGAGCTGAGAAATTTCCCACCCCAGCAGCTGCCCGTCTCAGCCTCTGCCACAAAACTAGTATGATTTCAACGATATCGGAGAAAGAGCAGCACTAAATAACTCCTGCCTTTGTCTGCCTAGCGGTTTCGGGGAAAGTTGAGCCCTGGTGGTGGTGCTCTGTCCAAAAATACTCCAGAGGCAGTTGACTCTGATAGTCTATAAAGTGATTCTGGTTCATGTAGCTTCGACCGATCGGAATGATGAATGAAGGAAGGCACAGGGAAGAAAGAAAGGCACAGAGAGGGGAAGTGACTCACCTAAAGTCACCGGGAAAGTCAGCAGCAGAGCCCAGAACAGATCCCCGAGCTCTTGTCTCCCAGCCCAGCTCCCTTTTCACCAGACCACACTGGCTCCCATTTCCCAACTGGCAGCCGTTTGAGTCCAGTTCTTCTCCAGACATCATTTTCATTTCACTGCTCCAAGAGAAAGAGCAGCAACAAGGAATTAATGTTTTAGTAATAGATTTTTTTTCTTCTAGGCTGATTTAAGCCATGAAGGTGATTTCTCTGTGAGTATTCAGAATTTACTCCCCTTTGGAGCTTTTAGATTAGCCTTTAAATCAGATTAAACATAGGAAGCCCATTGGCCTCCATAGGTGGGCTCAGAGGTTCGGCTAGCTGAGAGAGCCTGAGGAGTCCAAAGACAAGAAGCGCAATCTATTTAATTTACCAGAGAGACACTTGATCCTGGTATACACGTAACTGCAGGGGGGAAAAATTCTGATGGGAGATTGCTCTTTAATCAGAGAAAGGAAGAAAAGATCTAATAATCTAAAACTGAAGATAGACAAACTGAATCAAGAAAGAAGGTGCTAATTTTAACAATATTCATTAACCTTTGGAGCCATTAACCTAGGATGTGGTGGAGTCTCTGGCTATGTCTATGCCAGAGACCTTACAGGGGCACGGCTGTACCGATGCAGCTCTGCCACTGTAAGATCTCTCGTGTAGCCGCTCTATGCTGACGGGAGAGAGCTCTCCCATCGATGTTATGAAACCACCCCCAACGAGCCGTCGGAGATGCTCTTCCACCAACATAGCGTTGTGCACACTGCTGTTTATGCTGGGAAAACTTATGTCACTAAGGGGGGTATATTTTTCACACCCCGGAGAGAAATAAATTTTGCCGAGCAAAGTGGTAATGTAGATATGGTCAGTGATGAGCTCCCAATATCCTAAGAACTGGTTCCCTACCAGGTCCTCGGCGGTGGAGGGCAGGGAGGGATCTTCACTCGCTCCGGGTTTTCGGCGACAGTTCAGTGGCAGGTACCTCACCCGGAGCGAGTGAAGTCCCCCCCTCCCCCCTCTGCTGCTGAGGTGCCACTGAAGACCCGGTAGGAAACCGCATGGTGAGTACAAGCCCCACGTGCCTGTGTCCCCCCCGCCACCCACTCATCCGACACCAGCCCGCCCAGGAGGTCCGTCTAGAAAAAAATTCACATTGAGTCCTGCTACTGGTGCTCTCCAAAGACACTTGACTCTGTGTGTCTGTAAAGTGATTATGGTGCATTTAGCTGTGACCAATCAGACTAAATGAAGGACGGCAAAGAGAAGAAAGAAAGGGACAGAGAAGGGAAGTGACACACCTAAAGTCACAGAGAAAGTCAGCAACAGAGCCCAGAACAGATCCCTGAGCTCTTGTCTCCCAGCCCAGCTCCCTTTTTACCAGACCACACTGGCTCCCATTTCCCAACCAGCAGACGTTTGAGCCCAGTTCCTTTCAGGACACCATTTTCATTTCACTGCTCCCAGAAAAAGAGCAGCAACAAGGAATTAATGTTTTAGTAATAGTTTTTTTTGCCTTCTAGGCTGATTTAAGCAATGAAGGTGATTTGTCTGTGAGTATTCAGAATTTATTCTCCTTTGGGGGCTTTTACATTAGTTTGGGACCTTTAAATCAGATTAAACATAGGAAAGCTATTGGCCTCCAGAGGTGGGCTCAGAGGTTAGGCTAGCTGAGAGAGCCCGGGGAGTCCAATGACATGAAGCACAATCTACGCCAGAGAGCTTACAGCGGCACAGCTGTGCCAAGAAAAATGGTAATAGAGATAGGGCCTTAATCACTGAAAGTCTTTAAATCTAGATGGGATCTGTTCAGAAAAGGTATGCTCTAAATAGAACAGAAGTTAGGGCTAGTTGCAGGAATCATTGGGTGAGATTCTGTGCTGTGTCTTATTCGGTAGGTCAGTCTAGAAAAAAATTCATTGGTAAAAATTTCAACCAGCTCAAATTCTTATCCTGAGAAGTATTGAAACTGCCAAACTCTGGAGGTTAATCCCAGCACAGGGAAAGAAGGGCAGTGGGAACGTTGCCCATCACAGAGCTGTCTGGAGACATGTCTATACTACAGACTTCTGCTGGCATAGCGGTGTCATTCTGGGGGCTCAAGATATTTGACCTCTGACTGACATGCTGTCAGGCTGTCTCACTTCTCATATTATCGCAGAACCTCTTCTCAAGCCCCAACTATGAGCGCAGTGGTCAGCCGGAAAACCCAGACAGATGTTGAAGTATTAAGGCAAAAGACAGAGCAATGGGCTTCTAAATCCCCTGGGGGGAGTCACAGTTAGTCCAGGTGTTCTTTGCAGAGTTCTGGGACTCTGGATGAATGTATCATAGAATCATAGAATGTCAGGGTTGGAAGGGACCTCAAGAGGTCATCTAGTCCAACCCCCTGCTCAAAGCAGGACCAATTCCCAACTAAATCATCCCAGCGAGGGCTTTGTCAAACTGGGTCTTAAAAAACTCCAAGGAAGGAGACTCCACCACCTCCCTAGGTAACGCATTCCAGTGCTTCACCACCCTCCTAGTGAAACAGTGTTTCCTAATATCCAACCTGGACCTCCCACACTGCAACTTGAGACCCTTGCTCCTTGTTCTGTCATCTGCCACCACTGAGAACAGCCGAGTTCCATCCTCTTTGGAACCCCCCTTCAGTTAGTTACAAAGGCTGAAATCCACTCCTCCCCCAAGCCTCCAAACTGGTGACTACTCAAACCCAGTA